AGGTCCAGGTCGGTAGCTGGACTCTCCTCCTCTGTGGTTCTGGTGGTGGAACCAGTTACCAAACTGGTCCACCTGCTGACTCCCTCTCAGTCTGCAAGAACAGACTGAAGAGCAGCTCTGCACTCAACACCTCTGCACCTGACAGCCTGGAAACAAACAAACAAACAAACAAACAAACAAACAAACAAACAAACCTCCTATCCCCTCCCTACAGCCTGCTGCTGCACCGGCGCCCTGTCACACTGGACCAGTTCTACAGCTCTGATCCAGACTGTTCTCTCCTGACCAGATCCACGCTGGTTCTGATCTGCTCTCAGATGGATGTCCATTTGGATAAAAGCAGGAAGAACTGAACATTTCACTGATCTTATTTTAACTTCAAGGCATTTCTTGATTTGAAAGTCGGCGCTAGCTGTGGGCGCTAGCTGTGGGCGCTAGCTGTTGGCGCTAGCTGTTGGCGCTAGCTGTGGGCGCTAGCTGTGGGCGCTAGCTGTTGGCACTAGCTGTGGGCGCTAGCTGTGGGCGCTAGCTGTCGGTGCTAGCTGTGCTCCGTCACATCCTGACGGCGCTTCAACAAATCTGCACTAACGTCTGAATGTCGTCTTATTTCTCCTTCAATAAAAACCTGTCATGGCTTCAGACTGGTGGAGGATTTTCCCTTTTGGTCTGAAACATCAACAGTTTTGTTCTGAAGTTACAAATGAACCATGAAGTGGCTGCTGGTTTGAAAGGAAGCAGACGAGCAAACGGGTGATTAAACAATAACCTGAAGGACCAGATCAACACAACAGGGAACCAAAAGCAGATAAATCTGAACGTTTCTTCACCTGAACTTTAATCAAAACGACTGAAACTTTCCTGCTGGGTGTCAGAATCAGTACAAACTGCTCTGAGATCAACATGTATCCAGAATGAATTCAGTGAACAGCAAACAGAGGCGACACGCTGAGACAAACCTCGACTTCAGGATTAAAGCCTTTGAAGGAAACGCGACCGAACCTCAGATCTTCACAGGGAACAAAACTCCTCTCCTCGATGATCAGGTTCCTGAAATAAAGGAAACAGATGAGAGAATATCACAGTTATGAGTGAAGCTGATGAAGACGGTCACACCAGACTGTCTGCTTCTACCACAACTCAAACATCGATCACTTCTACTGTCGACTGATCAGCTCACTATTCACTGGATCAATAACCAGCTGGTGGGTCTAGAACGCCAGAAAAGATGTCCATCAGTTTCCTCAAATGTCCTGTTTAGTCCAGAGATGCTGGGTTTTCTGTCACATGTCCAGCCACACGCTGAGTTTCTGTGGTTACCCAGAAGGACTTGTTGAAGTCTGATCCTGGTCATGGCTGTGAAGCGAACACGCAGAGCTGAGCTTCACTTAAATGATCAGTTTACTGTCATAAAGGAGGGACGAAAGCAGAAATATTCACATTAGAAGGACTCCGACTGATGGATTATTGAGCAGCTGACGACTCATCGGTTCATCGCTGCAGCTCCCACTGTGGCTTCACGACGAGTTACAGGTCGAGTCCCTGAATCGTCTCTGACCTCCGGCCGCTGGCCTCACCCACCCCCAGACGCCTTCATATGTACTGTTCTGCTCTATCGCTGCTCTCCATCTGCTGTCCCCCCATCCCCCCACCCCACTGTGACCCGACCGGGGTCTGGTTCCTTCCCGCCGCTGCCAACCACCGGCTCAGAGGAAGTCCAGAGGCTGCTCTGGACAGTTGGCTCTCTGTTTAAACTCTGAGTTCTGAACCTGACTGTGTTCAGGCTGTGAGACGACACCGGCTGCAAACTGAGCTGTACAAATAAAACTGAAGTGAACTGATTGATCTGGATGGATTTGATTGATTTGGATGATGAGTGAGCGTCTGTACTCTTTGGCCTTGAGCTCCGGCAGGTCCAGGAACCAGTGCTCGTCACTGATGATCCTCTTCTCGTCCTCCTCCAGCTGCTTCTTGGTCTCAGCGTCCAAACCTCTCTGCATGAACTGAACACACACACACACACACACACACGTTACTGTCAGAGGACTTCTACTCACAGCCAGCAGCTCGGAGCTACTCTGACTTGAACTTGTTGGTTTGCTGCACATCTGGAGTCCCTGAAGGATGAATCCACCAACACATCAACCAGTGACTGTCCTGACGAGATCAGATTCATTGATCCCTGAACGGTCACATGGTCCAGCAGCTGGACACAAGGTCCAGCAGCTGGACACAAAGACGCAGGACGAGGAGAACAAAGGTCCAATCAGGCTACAGACAAAGGAGAGAGCAGCTGATGGAGACGAACCCACTGATGGGATCAGTCTGTGATGAATGAAGAACAAAGCAGAGTGGAACCTCTGACTGGGTCTGAATCTGCTGCTCTTCAGCAGAACATCAGAATAATAATACTGAGGATAGCTGGAACTGAAACTAGGGATTGTTTTAACCTTTAAGTATTCTGGTGGGTATCTACTGGATTAATCGATCAGCTGTGTCTCTGAAATATCAGAATATGTTGAAAAACGTGGATTAGCTTTCCTCAGACGACTCGTTTAGTCCAAAAGATTCTCAGTTTACTGAGACAGAAACCAGAAAAGATTCACGTGTAAGGAGCTGAAATCAAAGAATTCTGATCATTTCTGCTAAAGATTTACTTAAAGTGACTAATCAATGATCACGACAGCTGGTGATGAATTTAACAGTAGATAAATCATGGATTCAACAGCTCTTTGTTACCCTAACTTGGATCTAACACACAGTCACACACCTGAAAGTGAACACGGCAGGAGAACTCATTCATATTTACACGCCGAATTGATTACTGGCTTAAACTTCAAGTAAAAATGTTTGAAGTGGACATTTAAAGTTGAGTTTGTTCTTTACGTAAAGCAGAAAACTCTGAATTGCCAGATTTCTGAAGGGAGTCCGGCTGTTTCAGAAGCTAACGTGTGCGGCTAACACGCGCTGCTAACGTCCCGAACAGCGTCTCTTACCTTCATCCGGAGCAGGTTTCTGGACAGTTTCACTGAGTCGGCCGCCATCATGGCCACTTCACCGGTAACTAACTAAACTACACCAGGTTAAAGTGGGTCAACAAGCAGCGAACACACGAGCTCACATCCACGCAGCAGCTGCTAAACACAGGCACGAACAATCGAGCCACGAGCCGCCTTTAACACAGCAGCCCGGCTAATCGACCTCCGACTCACGTACTTGTCCGTACTTGCGTTCTTGCGGTTCTGTGAAACGTCATCAGTCTGAGACCAAGTGCTGTCCCAATTCTAAGTACGCATCTGACCAATGAAATGCCCGGATGTGTTCTGGCTCCGCCCACATTATGGAGTCTGCATCAGACCGGACTGTGTGGACTTCAGACAGC